GTGGTTAAATCTTTTAGGGAATACGTAATGACTACCAAATATCATAGATAAAAAATTAAAAGTAAAAATGATAAGAAATTTAAAATCGATAAATAAAAAATAGTATAACTGTCAGATTTTTCCAAGGACGCCATTTTTTTTCAAGGTTACAATAATTGGTAGAACTATTTCACAACGCTCCGTATTTTGTAAATACGCGACCGCATATGTATTTGTGTTTAAATGAAAAAGAACCTTACAAATACATTTTAATACAGTGTAAGAATAAAATATTAATCTTTTACAGGAACATGCAAAATATGCTGTGGAATAAAATGCTTGATGAACATCAATTATACGGGGCAGCCGGTAGGAAAACTATCTTTGCATGCGTTAAATTGGTTTATAACTACAAATTTAGAACTAGAAAGAAGAAGGTCGTGCTACATTTCAATTTTGTTAGCAATAAGTTCCATGTGATTAATCCAAAATATACATGTAATCACATATATTACATAATTTCTCTATCGTAAATCAATCTCTGATATATTGCCAATTTGAACACTATTGCAGATATGTATTGTAAGTGTTAAAGGGATTCCATTGTGGTCCAAAAGTCTAAAAACATAAAATTTGATTTTTTCATAGATCATGTGGGACATTTAAAGCAGAAAGATATGCAAACGATAATTAAGAAATATAGTCAGAAACAAATTGAAAATCGTATTGTGTGCCATTCTTGACCCGATTTGAGTGAAAGTCGTTGTAGCGATACCGCTTTTCAATTTAGGGTATTTTTTCGTAATTAAACAAATTATTCTGGAAAAAACAGAGTGCTTGAATTATTTGAACTTTTGCAGATAATGTATTGGTCTAGACCTACATCAAATGGAAGACAAATCTCGAAAAATTATTTCAAGCCCCGTCATGTAAAAAAAAAAACAACATTTGTGGAGTCCCTTTAATATTGCGATTATTGCGAATAATACTTTATACGAAGAGAGAGAAAAAGGTAGAAACATAGCTCATAAACGCAATAACCCTATTTCACCAAAACATTCTGTATTGGCTTCATGTAAATAGAATTCCTATGTCATACATAGCTTTCTAGAATGTCAATACTCACTAATCAAACTTTTATTGGTACTTCACTAATCCCAGAATGCTTTTATTTTTCTTCCCATTTTGTTCTAAGAGATTCAATAGCGCCGAGCGGAAAGGACTAATTTTTCTCATAACCGGTTCATAATGTCACCAAAAGCCTTTCAATATTCAATTCAATATGTCTTTCCTTTTCCAATCTATTCATTAGATTTCTTTATACACCAATTACAGCAGAAAGGAGAGTTGATTGTTTCAATAAATGCAAGGTCAGACCACCGGAGACAAAGAAATCGTACTGGAAATGTGTTTAAAATGAGAAATTTTCTGAAGATTTTTTTTTGTTTGCAGGCTTCGTTGGTAACGTATGAACAACCGAGCAACTAGTTCAGAAAGAACAATAGTTAATTATACATGTTTTTAATGTATATTTTCCAACTCCATGTAATAGTTATAATTCTAGTGATTGGATGGTTGTTGACTACACTCAAGTGGTAAGATACTACGTCATCGAGCGCCTGCAAAATGCTCCGAATCTGACTGTATTCTTTTGTAAACATCCCGTTGACTCGAAGGTATATATGCTTTTATTCTAAGAAATCGTTAGAATATCAAAAAAATATGTAGCGCACCAGAGATCGACTTTAGTACTTGATATGATTTATAATGAACATTTAAAGTTTTATTGCCTAGTTCAGTCCTGAAAACGGAATAAATATCTGGAAACAAAGTGATCCCTCGGAAGCATTAATCACAAAAAATTACAAGAGAATTGCAGACTCGGTTTGATTGAGTCTGTACATGAGGGATAAAGAATATGTGCAACCTCCCTCACGCAGTTGTTTTTCCTAAATGCTCCCACTCGGACTCCCAAACATTTTTTTCCCGTTTTCAGGCTTAAACCAGTATAACTTTAAACGTCAAGTACTAAAGCTAATCTTTGGTGCGTTACATTACTTTTTTTGATATTCCAACACATTCCAATTACAAAAAAAAAAAAATCGGAGCATTTTGCAGGTGCGCGATGACGTATTATCCTACCGCTGCTTTGTGATACACTGTCGCTTTAAAATGTATATCAAAACTTAATTATCGAAATAATCATATGAATGCATGAGCTTATTTTGCATCATATATATTTCAGTTACAATATTATCACATTGATAATTGGGCTAATAGATCGTTATGTAAAAACAGTAATGTAGTTTCTACCCAAGTCATTTCTTTCATAAATGACTCATGTACACTTCAAGGCGCTTTTTCTTACTTTATTAGGTATGGAAAGTTCCGAAACATGCCAATTTTAAGTTCAATGACGAATTTTATCAGTTTGATACATTTAAAAACATAATAATATTAAGGTAACAGATAAAGAGATAAACGGACCAATCGTAAACGTACACTATTCAGAAAAAATAACGTAAGAAAAAAGCGGTACTTTTTTAAAGTATAAATTGCATCTTAAGAACGATCATCTTTGTTTGTCTTTTTTATATATTCTAAAACATCATGAAAAACCCAAAGCAAAGAGAAGAACTTTATTTTGTTATTGCTATTTAAAGAAACACTTAAAACGGGATGTTCTTTCTATTACTGCAAACTAGGATCGTCCTACCAAAGGGAACTAACTCGAACGAAATAAGAAGGAGAATCCAGCAGTTATTAACTACCTTTGTATTGATCTTTTAATCTGTTCTTCTTAAAGGGGTATTCATTGATTACAAGTTATATTACATGTAACGTGTTAATTAACCGTGATATCCGACGATGGGTGAAACGGGACGTGGACGATTGTAACTATAAAAGTCAAATTCGATTGTTTTTATACTGTTGTACCATTGTCATTAATTGATATATTATTACTTTAATTAAATCTATGATTAAATTTGTACTGTGAAATTGTAGCAGACAAACAAGTTATAACACTGATAACTAACACATAGGTTTGTGAGTAACTGTACAAATATTATCGAACCGTATTTTTACGAGGTATGATATTTTTGCTGTTACACACAAACCTGTGTGTTATTTATTTCATTACCCCTAGCAAAAACTTCATTGGGACACTGTTTCTATAGGTTTTTGTTTTTTTTAGATATTTGTATAGAAAGTGTTTGAGTTTAAAATGTTTTGTGAAAGATATGGAAACACCAGATCTCTATTTTTGCAATAAAACATTAATGAGCCGTGTCACGACAAAACCAACATAATGGGTTTGCGACCAGCATGGATCCAGACCAGCCTGCGCATCCGCGCAGTCTGATCAGGATCCATCCTGTTCGCTATCAGTTTCTCTACTTGTAATAGGGTTGGTAAGCGAACAGCATGGATCCTGATCAGACTGCGCGGATGCGCAGGCTGGTCCGGATCCATGCTGGTCGCAAACCCATTATGTTGGTTATGTCGTGACGCGGCTCATTTCTTAAGAATAAATGAACGATCTATGAGAACCAAACCATGTAAAACGTCCCTGTTGAGATTACTAAATTAAAATTAAGAAGGTTTTATTGTATACGTTGCCATAATTTTCCAAAACATAGTTTGATGGAACACATTTTTTCTTTCTCTTGATTTCCGGTAGCGGTTCTACTCAGGTTTCAACTCGAACCTGCTGTAAGAAATCTAGTGGTTCAATTCAGGTTCTAACTCGAACCTACTGTAAGAAATTCAGTAGTGGTTCTAGTCATGTTCCAACAGAACCTGCTGTTAGAAATCCAATGGTTCTACTCAGGTTCCAACTCGAACCTGCTGTAAGAAGGTCACTCCGTACCTAATATGATAGAAATATGGGTATTAACATACACTCAAAGAAAGGTAGCCTGCTAAGTAGTAAGTGTAAATTTCGATCCGCCTTCAAGCTAGTGTCTGTGCATTTCTTCAAAATGTAAAAACTGAAAGAAGACGCCCTATGAAATCAATAGCGTTGGTAGGAATATCAAGGCAGTTAATATATACATGTATAAAGCCGAAGATTATGTGAAGGGAAATCCCACAATTCATACGGAAGATTAATGATTCATCGGTAAATCAATGATGATTGGACCATTTTAAATTTGAAAACGTGTAAATTAAATAACAGTGATAAGATTTCAATGGTTATTTATTGATCTGGACAGTCTTTTATACAAAGTTGTTTGTTTTATCTTTGTGAGTGATATAAAGTGGTATAACATGATCAACTTTAGAAACCTTATGTTAGGAAATTCATTTTGTAGCATTTAACATAATCTGCTTAATTTTTATAATGAATCTGTCACACTATGGATTTAGAACAGTCCACTCAAAGTCAAAGGTATTTTTCAATGTAAAAATCACAACAAAAATTATGCTACATACAGTATCGAGCCTGGTCAGACTACACGGCTGTGCAGGCTAGTCTGGCTTTATACTTGTGGTAAAGACTATAGTCACTATTGGATCCAGTAGCGTAAAGTTTAAACACTAGAATAATGTATTCTTTAGTTTATTGCATAGTGAATTAACTATTTACTCAATTTGTTTAACATAAAAGACCAGTATATTACGACAATGTGAGACGGGTACGATCATTCTCTGTATTATGGCGCATGGGCCATTTAATCAATGCTGATATTTCTTTTTTTTTTCTTTTTGCAAAGTTAGAGTTTATTCCACTTTATGCTATTCAAAAACATTTTTATACTGAAGTTGGATATATAGCAAATCCTTTAAAAAAAGAAGAAAATTTCTTTCACTTTATTCAAAATGGTAAAAAAAAGAAAAAAAGACATGTCTATTAAGTCACCTCAAATTATGTAAATAATAAAAAGGGCGATTTTAATTGAAAGGTAGTCAGTCTCTCAGGTAGGTAACTTGTGCAAATTGAAAAATGCAATGATTTCCATTATCTGGTCTAAATCGCTTGTTTTATTGAAAGTCGTTAATGATTGATTAAAAAAACCATCAAAATTGTCCACAAGAATGCAAAATTTAGTATTTTTTCTTAAAATCTTTGTTTAAGATGATGTTTACAAATATGAGTCAATAAAACGGACCTACTGAAAGATCTGTTTATTGAAATAGTTTAAGGGCATAAACAAATATACCAAAATGTTAGGGTGATAATCCCTCGCGACACACTATCTTTAATCTAATATCATGTGATTGACATAATAAAAAAATATGCTTGCTTATCAATAAGGGTATTTCTAAAATTTGTTGAAAGTTAAACAACCTTAGTTATAGAAAATTTTCTTTATTGCAAACAATATGTGGCGATTATTTCTGTACTTCGCTTATTTTGGTGAGTAAATTATATATACATATCAACGATTAACATTATTATTTACAATTTAACTGCACATATTCAATTTATATTTTACATGCAATTTAAATCTGATTTTTTACACCTTTTTCATTTTTCCAGGGTACTTGTACATTTTGATTGTGAATGGGGATAAAACACAAAGTAAGAAGTTTTTTTCTCTCGCTCTCGGTTTTACAAGGTTATGTTCGTAATACAGTTAAGAAATATATTAAACTCGATATCAGAATTTAAAAGAATGGATGGATTAGATACTTAATAAAGGAGTCCTGCATTGTTATTTGCTTTTTAATTTTGTAATTTAACGTAACTGCAGTTTATGGTTTATGTTAATTAAATGTGTTGATATAACATTAAGTGACAATGATTTTTACAAATAAAAGTTATTAACAAAAATGAAATAATTAAAGTTATTAAAAAAAATAAACTACTAATTAGCCTTATCAATTGGTGTTCAAAATTATGACGTTTGAAATTTGTTCCTTTAAAGGCTATATACTGTATATACAAATTGTTTGATAAATTTGGTTACATGAAAACAAACTTGTGATTAAATTCATGTTTTTAATCACGAGAAACACGTAACACATTCCGTGCTAGATTAAGCATGTGTTTGATATATTATATGTATTAAACACAATCATATGAGAGATAGTGGGAACCGTTTTGTGCCACGTTTAGGATTTGAGACAGCTAATCCAAGGTGAAGATACAATTGTTCTCTATTCACAGCTCACGATCTCGAAGAACCGGATAATGGTGATGCTGGTGTAGATGTCGGCGTTGATGTCGGGGTTGATCAAGTTGTGAGAAGAGTAAAACGTGGTGGTAAATTTTGTAAGTATGAAATATATACAAACCATCATATATAATATAGTATAACTAGATAAATTGATATACATTTATTAATTTGCTTGCATTCAAAGATGGCTGCATCTATTCAAACTTATACTTCATGTCGAATGCATTACTGAACGGGAAGCTTCTGTGTAAGAGTATATTTAATGAGACAAATTAGATTTCTACCATGGCAATTGGTATTTAGGTAAATATGGATCAATTTACAACCTTAGTATTAGACTATTCAATATTACTTTTGATTTTTTTTTAATTATTAAAATACGATAGATATGCAAACGTATTTCTTTTGTGAATTTGTATAATTCATAGTAGTTGAAATTTTCACGACACCAATAAAATTCTGTTGTTTTCATTTCTTTAATGCAGACTGCCAGCCGGTAAGTCATTCTCAAGCTTCAAACGGTATATAAATATTAACAGTAACATTTTAATAAAATTAACGTTTCTTTATTATGTTATTTTACAAAGTTTTGTTCGTATTGATTTTATAATATATAATAGCCAACTATTTTAGAATACATATATTTTCTAACGAATATTGCATTCCTCTAGCTTTTTTAACTGAAACAAATAAAAGAAGTTGTACTTCAGAAACTGTTGTCTTCACAATCATATCATTTGATTGTCATCATCTACCCAATTTGGAAAGAAAGAAAGTCATGAGAAAGAAATGATAAACAGATTATATACAGTATATGAGGAAATTAAGCAAGAAATTGACGTTAAAACTGCGATGTGTAGTGGTAATCATACTGAATCGGTAATTCAGAGACCCTTGGTCCAAACTTCCGCGTCGTCTGGTCAATTTCTAGTGTGACTTATATGCACGATATTATTTCCTAAATTTCATATCAGAGTGGTAACAATCCATGCAAACATGGAAGTTGCTGGACAAATGACCATGGCCATGCCCACTATCAATGTAACTGTCATATTGGATGGAAAGGAAAAAATTGTACTAATGTTGGTAAGCATATTAACTGACCTATAGTGTTTTGATCTGTGGTACATTTTTATATCTGATTACCATTGTCTGACGAATAGAATAATTTAAACCAGATCAATATAAATATATTTGGCATCAATGATCCTGATGGAACAGAAAAAAGCATAAAGGCAGGTTCTTCAAAAGAAATGCTAATATATATAATCTCTTCAATTATTATTACAGTTTTGTAAATGAACAATTGCAATGTAAATTGGAAACGGCATCGATTCATTCTTTTCTCTTGCTTTTTTATCCGTATTGTTTCAAACATATATATTTATATATATATATTTTTTCGCTGTCAAGTTGAGATGAATTATATATTACTATATGTTTCACCATATTGACTGTTATAATGGTTATTAACTAATACTTGATAATACAAAATGTTATGGATGAATAAATAAATAATAATTAATAAAAACTGTGACATACCTTCTCTGTTTATAAATTGAACACCACCTATACAATCCAAAATATATCTATAGAATGTTTCGTGAGTTACACGGGTTATTAATTATACATTTGAAGTAAAATATAAAATTGAAAAAACAAAAAACATGGCTAAATGTGAAGTTAATTTGACTTAAATTATTTTTACACTCACCATTTACATTTGGATGGACGTAATGCCACTTTAATTGTATTCTTTTACACGAACATGCATCTTCAAGTTTTACTATTCTATTTTAAATTGCGTCTAATAAATCTCTTTTTTCTTAATACGTCTAAGATATTGTGCAAAGTTAATCACAGTTAACCATCTCAGCTTGTTCATTACAGACTGTTCCAGCCCAGTACATTGTTATAACGGAGGGAAATGTGTGCCAATGTATTCTTACACCGATTATCGCTGTATTTGTTCAGAGGGTTGGGAAGGTCGAAACTGTGAACGCAGAGGTACATTCTTATAATATTAATAGTCATTTCTATATTGTTCATAAACATGTTTTTAGTGTTATTACATTAAGTTTAATCGGTTCCTTACTGTTATTCATCCCATGTATTAAAGTAAACACGAATATTTTTTCTGCAATTAAGTCTGTTGTATAAAAAATCTTCTAAAAAATTGACCAATAATGTTACATATATAATTTCATGATTGTTGGCTTTGAACAAGTACAAATGCATGTCAACTAACGGGAACAAAAAGAAAGAGCTAAACTGCATTATCTCCTGTAATTTATAGTCTGTAATTATTATTATGTTCTATTTTAACAAGGCTATGACTACTTAAGATGAATACAAACATTTTGTTACATGAAAATAAACAGCAACACTTCCTTAAAGTTTCTGTTTTTTTTTTCACTGACTCCGAATATATTTTTGAATAAAGATCGTAGCTGAGTTCGCGAGAGAAGTTCCACCATTGACTGTCTTTCGTGATCATGTGATAGGTATTGTCACCTGTTGATATATTTCAGTCTGTTGTCTTCCTTTTTTCTCGAGGATCATCTATTTTCAATTTATTGTTAAAATTGGAAAAAGAAATATGGAAGCATTACTTAGACAGTGTGAACTAATTTATTGTTCTACTAAATCTATTCATGCAAAATGATTCAATATAAAAAAAGTTTTATTATTAGCTTCCATGATCATCAGCATGAAAATATTATCAGTTTAGTCTTTGTTTCGTTTTGGCTTTTAGATTGTTCCAGTGATTTGTACTGTAAGAATGGGGGAACATGTTCTGTTACAAATGGAGGGTCTAGCTACACTTGTAAATGTGCTGCCGGCTGGAAAGGCGTCAACTGTGACTTTGTCGGCAAGTCTATAAAATCATCGGTTGTCTGATAAAGTTTATAATAGCTCCATGTGAAGGCAATTTTAATTAAATGCCTTTAAAAAGGGCTTTGAATGAGATGCATTATATTATTATTGAACGATTTATTTTGCTCAATTTACTGTTAGAAAAAAATCTTTTTTCATCTGTTAAATTATTTGTTAGTTGTATGTATGATAACGAACTTTTTAAAAAATATATCCAGATTGCTCTAGTCAACTTTGCTGTCTCAATGGAGGTACTTGTCATTTGATCAATGGTGGAAGAAGCCTTATGTGCAGATGTACTGATGGTTGGAAAGGCGCAAATTGTGACTTTGTAGGTAAGGCTAATTTTATGTGAAGGAAATACTTGTGACTTTGAAAGGTAAGTATAATTTTATATGAAAGAACAATTCAAATATGTATCACAATGGGTATAAGAGTTCTAGTATATAATATGAAGGCTTGCGCACTGTTGTCAGTCAATTTTAGATAACTCAAGTTCGCTTAATTGGCATCTCTGAGGGACATGTAATTTAATCAATTTATAAATGTAGTTGTAAGGAACAAAGTATAATTTTGCTTTTATGATTGAATTGAACGATATGATTATATAATAATGGTGAATTTTATTATTCTTATCTATTACAAAGTTCTGAGTATTTTGATTGTTTTTCTTTTTTTCTTTTGTCTTTTAGATTGCACTAGTCCGCAATATTGTCAAAATGGGGGAACATGCAATCTGATAAACGGCGGAAGAAACCATTCATGTAGTTGCACTGAGGGTTGGAAAGGAACTAATTGTGATTTTACAGGTATCATTGATGTTTATAATGGTTATTTTCATTTCAATGCTTTAAACTTTTTGGTTAAGATATTGGATGCCTAATACAGAATCTCCTTTCTGAAGAGTATTCATTTTTAGTGAGGACACAGAGTTTCGATAGGGCGTGGGTTCAAACCACAGAGGAGACAATTTTTTTTTATATTTGTCTTTTGTTTCTTCTTTTTGTTTGGCAAGATTTTGACTTTTTTCTTATTTTTTATATAAAATCTGAAATTAAGAAAAAATTAAAGTTTGATGCATGTTTTTTTACAGTGAATTGTGTGCAATTGGATAGGATTACAACTTAAATGGTTATAATTTAAAATCGGCATGGTAAACTTCCTTTATATATTTCACATATGTTTAGATTTGTATCAAGATAATTAGTATTAAATAATATTTAGATACCCCTATTGTATGTGACAAAATCTATCAGCCTTTCTTACCCCACCCTCTTCTTATTTGATGTAAAATATCAAGTACCTGCCTCAATAAACCAAACAATCTTTTCATAGACATTTGTCATTGATTTATTTGTAGTTATTAAAAAACTATGGTTCTTTATTAGTACTTTTCAACTGAAAATAATATGAAAATAGCAAAATTTTCTTCAGATAGTGAAAACTTATCTTTGTTTTTGTTGTATAAAACTGATATAAAAGTTACGCTTCAATTGTCAATATTTTTCAAACATAGTGAACTTTTGTAATTTTTTGTATCTATGTCCATTTTTGTCCAGAACATAGTACAGTTTATTACTATTAAGTTTTAAATGCCTTTTGAAAAAGTGTTAATTATACATCTAATACATTAATTTTGAGTTCTAGTAAATTTTCAGCTAAGATTTAGTATAAAGGTTCGTTGACGTGAAAACTGTCAAATTATTGAATATCTTAGAAAAATAATTCCTTTCGTTCCGAATGCCAATCATTTTTCGTTTTCTCTATCAAACTCATTTTTAGATTGTTCAAGTCAACTTTATTGTCATAACGGAGGGACATGCAATTTGATCAACGGTGGAAGAGGACACACATGCAGCTGCGCTGATGGCTGGAAAGGGTCCAACTGTGACTTAGTAGGTAAGGTAAATTAGTTGATGTTTTTTTTTCATGCTCCATATGCTATATGTGCCTTAATAAATGAACAATTGATAAAATTAGATTGAATTGTATAAGAATGATTCTAACACATTTCGTTTTTATCCAAGACATATTTTTAGGTTTGTGTGCGTGAAATCAATTACAGTTAGTAGCGGATTTGATAGTAAGTCAAAATAATCAATTTTACTCGATCACTCTGATACAGCTATGGCTGGGATTTCGAGCATTTATAACATATTATATTATGTTCTATGTATTTTATTCAATATCGAAATAGAAGCGACTTCTTAATGTAGATACATACACTTTTATAGATAGAGCTTCAAATACATGTTAAATACTTGTATAACGCAGCAAAATATGATATATATGCAGATTGCACAAGTCCGATACATTGTGGTGAACATGGTGACTGCAAACTGACAAATGGGGGTCGTAACAAAACTTGTATTTGTTTTTATGGGTGGAAAGGTCCAAAATGTGAAAATATAGGTATATATTACATATCTTTGCCGTGTTTTGTTTTACTATCATGATCAATATTTTATACTTAATTTAATGTTGTTTCGCTGTTCTGTGTTTTACAATAAATTCGTGCATTATAATATTATACCTTAATTGCAGGAATACTGGCAATCACCGTCACCTCTAAGTTAACTGATATACATGTTACCTTTTTGTAATTTTTAAAATGTAATAGGGCTGTAAAGTATTTCTGTAAACACAATTTTTTTCTAGACAAGGATATGGTACATCATGTTCAATTGATTTCAGACGAATGCACGCCATATAAAAAGGCCGACTTTGTATTTGCTATCGACACTTCGATGAGTGAATGTAATATATCGTTTGATAAGCATAAACAATATGTCCAGAACTTTATATCCAAATATCAAGTAGGGCCACCAAACTATCGATACCAATTTAGTCTTGTGACATTTTCTCGACAAGCGACCATTCATTTTTACTTAAATACTTTTAACAACAATAGCGAGATACAAAACGCAATAGATCAGCTAACAGTAGATTGTGGTGGCCCGAGTTTCACTGGAACTGCTTTGAAGAAAGTACGCGAAGACGTTTTACAGACGGCACATGGTGTGAGAGATCCGGCTGACGTCGAACGCTATATAATATTATTATCGGATGGACTGTCGTCGGACCCGAATATTGTGATATCAGAGGCGAATGCTTTGACAGTCAGCGGTGTGAAGATTTACTCTGTTGGTAGTGGAGTGTCGATACGACATGAGGAATTGTTAGAAATATCATCTTTTAATTATTATGTGTTTCCAATGGCAACAGAAGATTGTTTACAAACACTCCTTAAATACACCATGTTTGGTTGTGACAGTATGTTAACTCATCTTTATATTAATTTTAATTAACTTTGCGTGAATTTTTTTGTTATACTATTAGAGCATGATTAAGTTATTTTGTTATAAACATGTCAATTCATCGAAAGCTTGGTGCACATAATTGAATTTAAAATTTTGTAAAAGTATACATGATCTGCATACATTATTCTTAGATTGCTTTATAATTCTTTCAAATATTGATTTGATTACTCTGTTATGGAATTGGTTCAATATCTCTTTCAGAATGTTCAACAAATGTGTCAGATGTTGCTATTGTGATGGATGTCTCGGCTAATATAAATCATAGAAACTTTGATATGCAAGTCAAAGCTGTCTCTCATCTTTTAACACTTACTGATGTTGGTCCAAATGCAACTCAGTTCAGTTACTCTACATTCACGAATGCCACAGTGAGTGTATATAATTTTACAACCCATCACGACCGAGTAAGTCTAAGAGCTGATGTTAATAAGAAAACAAGGCAGGTATACAATAAAAATAATAACATAACCCGTGCTCTGAATGACGTGAATAAAAATGGATTTTCAACTTTGAGAGGATCGAGGTCAGATGCAAGAAAGATCTTAGTTTTGGTGATTTCAGGAAGCATGAATGATACTCAAGAAATAAAAACTGCGGCAAAACAGCTCAAAGACTCTGGAATAATAATTGTTACCATAGGTACTGGTAGAAGTGCTAACTGGATCAACTTGCGTGATATATCATCGGACCCAACGCTAACGTTTGTACTAGGGGATGACATCCATATTGGCGTTAATGTACTAGACTCTCTTAGAACAACTTTATTATATGATTATTGTTCAAATGTATGATCATAAATTACATGCTTTAATTATACATTGACAATATTGACATGACTTTAGTTACGCTGTGTTTATCACATTTTGTACAGACATCTGACAGCTAGTACCATTATAATCAAGACATTGCAGAATACGTTTATGAAAATTTCACATGTTTACTTTAGTCGTACATATAAGACAATCCTGATATATGTTACAAAATACTGTATTTGTCTGTAATATCGATATTTTTGTATTTTCCACATTATGTATCTTGATCAATTATTAAGACCATGAATCTAAAAGTGATTTGATTTTTTAGACAATAAACAGGTTTTTAACAATTTTCAAGTACGAGCAGAGTAAAACTTTTAATGATAAAAGTCAAATTAAAATGACACAGTGAAAGAAAAGAAACATGTATTAATAAAGAAGATGTTTACCATACCTTTACACTTCTACGTATGACAAGTGTTTCAACAAATTGCCGCTAAACAATAAAAACGTGTACCTTGTTTATGACGAAGAACTGTCAGTAAGTATCATGCTTATGTGTTGTGCTCTTAGTTTTGTTTTATTGCGGTCTTTATATTTTATATATTATATTTGCTAGGCCAATTCATATGTTTCGTGAACCTAGCCCAAGTTCGTATTGATATATGCCAAAGAGTTATATCATTTTGGACGAAACTGATAAATTGTTCAAGCCAAAATATCGACAAACTATCTGGTAAGTTTTACAGCATGTTATATGAAATGAATACTTTAAACAATGTTAAGTCCCAATGGATCGAAAATGTTAGAAATTTGTTGTGTTCTTCAAGTTTTTCAAGAGTATGATACTGTCAAAGTTTCTTAAATGAGAAATGGCTGATTTGATCAATTTGCCGAAAGTTAAAAGATAATTTTATACGGAAATGGCAATTAACATTAAAAAGGTATTAAAACTGAGTTTGGAAGAAGTGCTTATATCAAGATTTTGTCATCTAGACGTAGCTTATCAATTATGCGTTTTTTACTAGAAATCATATATAGGCTGCTTGTGGAAACAGGAGGATGGTATGGAAAACCTTCTTCTGAAAGAAAATGTTCCTTTTGTAATGATGATGTAGGGTGACGAATTTCATTATTTGTTCACATGTTTGAGGAAAGAAAAAAGTATTTAAAACGGTATTTTTAAGTTAATCCCATTTTTTTAAATAAGAAGAATTGTTTAGTAGTGAAAATAAAATTTTATTAAATAAACTTAGTAATTTTATCGAAATAATATCTAAAAACATATAACATTGATATGCCTGGATTGCTCGTTTACTTGAAAATATATTTATTTGCTACACATATGTTTTTTTTTGTAATTTTACATGTATTATTTGGATATGTTTGTCATTCTCTTTTTACGTAACACCTGTTAATATGCCGCCATTATTCACTGTAATTATTATTGAATGGTGGTTTTGTTGTTTACTTGATGTAAACCTAAGATGGAAATAAAGTTTGAAGTTTTGAAGTGAACCTAGCCCGATATTTGTTGAATGAACTCATGTTTGTTTGTAATATCATTCAAGATCATGCAGAATTAACGTGAATAATTGCACTTATTTGAAATTATAAGGCATTATTCGTTTGAACATTTATTATCTATGTTACAAAATTCACAGAAGTAAATCATTATTATTTAATGAGAATTGTGTGAGCGTCTCCTACAGAGATACCAACGCATTGAGCTATATAACTATTGAGCTATATAACTAGTTGTAAATCTTGCATCAGTAGCAATGAAATCCTTTACTTTTTAAACCATTTTTGGCGAAGTTGCAGTTTTCGGACGGCGTGCATGAGATGCATCTTTTACTGAATCAAAACCACTTTTAAATTTCCTACACCATCGTGTGACAAATGAAAAAGAAAGTTCATTGTTCCCATAAATACGACATATTTCATTAAATATGTCTTTCGCCTGTATACCAAGAATACAGCGGTACTTGATACAAGACCGTATTTGGTCAGTGAAAGGAGACCTTTTCCCAATCATTTTAGCTTCAGTTCAGTGTATACACGAGTAGATAGCGATAATCGTGCTATTGCCAAAGCTAGACTGAACTGATTTACCTATGTATTGTATCAATTGAGAGCTTACACAACCATCTATGTGTACTATGTACATAGTACATATGTGCGTGCAAAACGTGGTTAAAAGCGAGATATTGGCCTTGTTGCATTCATATTTGAACACCCCTGGTAATTGGGCTAAGAGAGATCGTTTTATAAAACAGTATTCCAGCTTCTATCTCAAGCTAATTAGTTAAGAGATTTCATTCATTAATAGCTCAAACTTCGAGTTTATCCTATCTTGTATTGGTAGGAACTTTAACAAAATGTTTTCCTACGCGCGCACTTCAAGGCGCTTATTTTTACTTCACAAGAAAGTGCCGAAATATGCCCATTTTAAGTTAAATGATATATTTTTTTTCTTAACATAATATTATTAATACAATAAAACAATAAAAGTGGAACAAACAATCAACACAGGATAAGTTTTAAAGTTTATTTAATAATATTATTAAGGTAACAGATAAAGATAAAAACGGACAAATCGTAAACGTACATTAGTAAAATTAACTTAAGAAGAAAAAGAGTTATTTTTCTTAAAAGTCATGGCATCTTTAAAACGATGATTTATACTTGTCTTTTCTAAAATCTAATACATCACGAAAAAGGATTAGAATTGTCAAGCAAAGAGAAGAACTTTTATTATTGTTTTTTTTAAAGAAAGACTTAAAACAGATTGTTTTTTATTTATTAAAGATACTTACTGCAATATTATATACCAACTAGGATTCAATTCTCCCACTTCAAATTGCCTAAAAATTTTACTACCTATATTTTTAAAGAACTACCAAAGGGAGTTATCTCGAACAAAGTAAAAAGGAGATTCCAGAAGTTATTAACTACCTTCTTTGTATTTATCTTTTATTGAAGCTTTTGAAATGGCGTTCTTTAATAATGCTTAAGACAGCGGAATGTCACAGTTACAGTGTTTTTACGAGGAATGATATTTTTGCTGTTACTCACGAATCTATGTGTTATTTATTTCATTACCCCGAACAAAAATGTCATTGGGACACTGTTTCTATAGGTTTTTATTTTTCAGATATTTCACTGCGATAAGAATAACTCCCATTTACCTATAGGTATTAATAGTTCAAAATTAGTGATGGGTAATATGATTGATTGCCAGCTAATATGCTCAGAAACAAATAAGTCTAAATATATGCTAACAGTGTATATCTGAAAGGATATGAAACAAATATTTACGGCATGTCCATTATATAAGACAACATATAAATATATAACTAGAAACTGAAGCTACAATGCGCAACGAAATCTGTTATTTATATAATGATAAATAATATATTGTCTGATATTTCTTTTTCATAAATGCCTACAGAGATTCTTTACTTATTAAAACTCAAATTTTAAACAGAACGTGTTTGACTTCTCACTTCCCATCGGAGCGTGCACGTCGCTGAGAAGGCACAGGGCATCGGCAGATGATTGAAGGATTGTGTACGTTTAAGGCGGCATGTTTTCCTCTACTCGGGGTAACGTTTAAGGCGGCACGACCTAGATAGACTGCATGAAGTTAACTGCCGGTGTCCTGACTAATGCCGAGGGGAGTGGCCATACAAAGTAGGCTGAGACGACGAGGATGGTGTGCTAGGGTACGTGAGCCCCTAGTACAGATAGACGGCTTGTAAGGCAGGCCTTTTTCTGGCACCAACAGCCCTTTTCAGGGCTAACCTTTCCTATTGTCACAGGTTACTGTACATTTAGGTTCTCATTGACCGCCGTACAGTGACCTTCTTTGGCTCAAAATTCATATATTTGGCTAATACTCCGTGGAAATTGCATGGAGGTAAATTATCACCACTTTGTGCTTCAAAATTAACTTTTTAAGGACATGACTGGTGACATTGTCCGGGGTCCGTACTCGAACACGAAAACTGCATTTTTGTGCCCGAAAGGACGGATGAACCCTCATTAAGCATTAACTACATACATACAGAACGTTGTTTGAGATTAAACTTTTTGTGTAATATATGAAACAGCAGGTCACTATATTTTCGCAATACAAACATTTTTTTAAGAATAAATGAACGAGCTATGATAACCAAATTAATGTATACTATTACTGTTGAAATTATTTTACTAAAGTTATATTCTATGAAAAACGTTGTCTTAATTTAACCAAAAATATAGTTTAATAGAATGCATTCATTCTTTTTCTCATGTCGTCCGAATAGATAAAATTTTAAATAGGAAAATTTTATTTTTAAAAAGATGAATAAATATAGCCTGCCTCAAGAAAGAGACGTTTTGGGTTTTATTAAAGGTTTCCCAAAATAACCCCAAATAAGAAAAACAGTGGTTTTTTTTCTCCCCTGTTTCCAATTTTCGGGGGAACCCCGCCCGTTTTTGAATGGCCCCTAGCTCTACTCAGGTTCCAACTCGAACCTGCTGTAGGAAAGTCACCTCGTACCTGATATGATAGAAACATGGGTATTAACATACACTCAAAGAAAGCTAGCCTGCTAAGTAGTAAGTGTATATTTCGATCCGTCTTCAAGCTGGTATATGTGTATTTCTTCAAAATATAAAAAACTGAAAAAGTCGCCCTATGAAATAAATAGCGTTGGTAGGATATAAAACGAAGAATATCAAGGCAGTTAATGTATACATGTATAAAACCTAAGATTATGAGAAGGGAAATCCCACAATTCACACGGAAGATTAATGATTCATCGGTAAATCGATGATGGTTGGACCATTTTAAATTTGATAACGTGTAAATAAAATAAGATGACAGTGATAAGATTCAAATTGTTATTTATTGATCTGTAAAGTCTGCATTTTTTTAAAAATTTATACAAAGTTGTTTGTCATGTCTTATAACATTTCTTAATAAGTCATTTAAAGTGGTATATCATGAACTTTGGTTACGAAATTCATTATGCAGCATTTAACATAATCTTTATAAAATGGATCTGTCATGCTATGAATTTGGAACAGTAAGGTATTTTTCAATGTAAAAATCACAGCAAAAATGAAGCGACATACAATATCGAGCCTGGTCAGACTACACGGCTGTGCAGGCTAGTCTGGCTTTATACTTGTGGTAAAGACTATAGTGACTATTGGATCCATTAGCGTAAAGTTTAAACACTAGAAGAATTCTAGTATTCTTTAGTTTATTGTAGTGAATTTACTATTTTTCTCACTTTGTTTAATATTCTTGACTAGTACATTGTTTAGTTTGATGCAACGACTTTGTGGTTTAAAACCAGGCGGGTGCTATTCATTGTATTATGGCACGTCGGTCATTTATTAATGCCGTTGTTTCATATTTTTGTTGTTGATTTTTTTCACTATTTTTGGCAAAGTCGGAATTTATTTCACTCTATTATTTAAAAACTATTTTTACTGAAGTTGGATATATCGCAAAGCTTCTTAAAATAAAAAGAATAAATTTTCTTTCGCTTCATTCGAATTGGTAAAAAAAGAAAAGTTTACTATCGGACATGCCCAAATAGTCACCTCAAATTAAGTAAATAAAAAGGGTGGTTTTTATAGAAAGGTAGTCTCTTATGAGAGTAAATGTTTGCGTTATTTTGTGAAAATTGTAAAATGCAATGATAGGTTATATTGACCAAACGCTATCTTTATCTGGTCTTTAAATGGTCGTCTAAATCGCTTGTTTTTATATATTAAAATCATATCTTGTTAACGAAGGCCCTTTGATTGAAAAAAATCTCAAAATTGTCAACAAATATGCAAAGTTTTTTTTGCTTGTAATCTTTGTTTAAGATATATCGATGATGTTTACAAACAAATATAAGTCAATAAAACGGACCTACTGAAAGATAAATATTCAAGCGAGGTTTAGAGCTACTGTATTTTGAAATAGTTTATGGGCTTAAACAAATATACCAAAATGTTAGGGAGATTCCCTCTCGCGGCACACTACTAAGTCATTGATTATGCATGCTTATCAGTAAGGGGATTTCCAAACTTTGTTGAAACTTAAATAACCTTAGTTATAACTTACAAACAGTTTGAAGAAAATTTTCTTTATGCAAACAATATGTGGCGATTATTTCTGTACTTCGCTTTTTTTGGTGAGTAAATTTAATATATAGTTTGATTGTATTAACCTATCCATGAACACAAAATATTTAATCTCCGATAAATTTTGGGTAAGTTTCATGAGATATACACAGTGAGATGTAATTAAATGTAATTTGTATCTGTGAAGTAATTACACTAAGCGTTATATAGCGCAATAGGGTAATCTGCTATACGGGTTTATAGCTTTTAGTGCCCTACGTGTTGAAAGATCGAGAACGCGTAGACCCATGTTTTTTTTCTTATTGATATG